AATTTATTCCTAAATATCACTTTTGTTTTGATGCTATTATAAATAGAAAATTTGCTTAAGTTAATGCTCATGTTGCTTGTTGATAGTATAGAAAAAAGCAACTTTTATACATTTATCTTTTTTTTTTGGTGGAACCGGGGATTGAACTCAGGTCCTTGTGCTTGCCAGGGAAGCGCTTATTCCACTGAGCCATCCCCCCGGCCCCATATACATTTATCTTGTAATATGAGATCTTTAATTCAAGTGGTTCTGGGGTGGATTCTCTAGGATTTTCCACATTTAGATCTTATCATTTTTGAATAAAGATAGTTTTTCCTTTCCAGTCTTCAGAGACTTGTGTTTTCTTGCCATACCGTGTTAACAGAAGTGACAGGAAGGCCTTTGCTTTGTTTCTGATCTTAGGGAAAAACCATCCCATCTTTCATCACTAAATATCAGATTTGCTGTAGGCTTTTCATAGATGCCTTTCATCAAGTTAAAAATTTTTCCTTCTGTTCCTGATTTGCTGAGAGAGATTTTATCATGAAAAGGCATTCTGACAAATCCTCCTTCTCCATGCTCTGAAGTTATCATACAGTTCCATCCCTCCTTCTATGAAGTTGGTGCCTTACCTTACTGATATTCTTTATTCTATGAATACACATGGCGAGCCAGTTTTGCCTTCCTCAAATAAACTCTACCTGGCTGCTGTCTGGCGTCCTTCTTGTATGTTGCTGGATTTATTTGCCAATATTGTCCTGTGGATTCATGAAGTATATGCATCTGTTGTTTCCTTTTTGTGTGATGTCCTTGTTTCATTATTGAAGTAATACTTCACCTTCCTAGTATTTTCTGGTTCCCAAGGCCTCCTTTTTCCAGTTCTTCAGTCAACACTCTAGTTTTGTTTGCGTGGTTTTAACCCAGCTCCTTCACATGATTCTACTTATTGTGCTTGCTCCGAGGGCCGAAAGGGACAGAGAGTGGGGACAAACAATAGGGCTTGCCGTGATGGAAATTATAGTTCAGTTTTTGAGGCCTTTGCTGTGTTGCTTTGAGTCTTTGCTACACATATGCACTTCATGGGTGTCTCAACTTTCTCGTTGCTGAGATAAAATACCCACAAGTTAAAGGAGAAAAGGATTATTTCAGCTCACAGTTCATAGAGGTTTCAGTTCATAGTAGGCTGGCTCCAAGGCAGGTTGGCATGGCAGAGAGGCATTGCAGAGGAGAAACAACTCATGGTATGGCAGGCAGAAGACAACAGAGCAGCAAGCAGAAGCATAGAGCCTTCCTTTCCCCGTTATCTCATGCAGGCTACCAGCCTTTGATGCCAGAAATATGCTAATTCCAATCAGCAGATTAATTTAGTACTGCATGTCCTTAATCCTAATATCACACACCCTAGGTCCAGCCAGCTCTGAACAGCCCCACCTATGAGCAAATGAGGCTTTGGGGGGGACATCTAGATGCAAGCCATAACAGTAGGTGAGTCTAGGATTTGATTCATTCATAGAAAGAATAAATGCATCCTTACTTCTAGCTAGTTCCTCTTAACTTTTAATTTTTATCATTGTACTTTCATATGATAACAACCTAAATAACATAGAACTCTTTCTAATGAAAACTATCCTCTCTTTGCCATCCCAATCCTAATCCCAGAACCATATTCTATGAAATGTTTGCTTCTAGTTCTTCTTTCTATCTCTGTTCTTTCTCTATCTCCATAAATAATACTTTATTCTACTATATTAAAAAAGCAATAATTTGTTCTTATAGTACTCTTCTGCTTTTGATCCTATATTGGATATTTATATTATTATGTGTTCCATTAGTTACATTTATAACATTTTATTTAATATGCCTACCTATACTTCTAGATTTATCAGATTTCATAATCTTCTTCAGTCTCTGACTTCATACCAAAACCTTTTCTTTGTTTAATCCTACTTCAGACCACTATTATCAGTGTTTTGCTCTTTCCAAGATCTCACTATGAATATTTAAAATTTTTCTAGAAAACTACAAAACAGCATTTACACTATTATAAATGGATAAATACTGTTCAATATTGGAATAAGCCATAATTTAGTAGCACATGGTCATCCTGAAGGTCTTATATGATAGATATGTCAGTCAATTAAAGAATATATATA